TCTAAGGTTTGCTGAAAAATCATAGCCATGGGAATTTTGATTAATATGAGGGGGAAAGTACAAATTCATTTTAACGTATATACATGGGAGCCTTCATAATGAAAACACAAAGATACAAGGAAAGTGTTCATTTTTATGCCAATAAAGTATGGATAGCCAGAGTGAAACATGACTGGACAAAAAGGGTATGATTTAATGCTAATAGACTGAGTAAGGAAACCCAACAAGGCCTATGTGTCTAGATTCTTCTTGGCCTCTTTGAGCATGGGTCCTTTCATCTGGGTGTGGGGTAGGACCCTTTCTGGAATGATGGTTTTATGGCCTACAAACAAGGTAGATTGAGTTGTCATGTCATGGCTGTTTTTATATAGAATAATTTTAGGTTTTATAGCTAGTTTTTGAGAAAAGGGGTTCTGGCTTTTATAAGCCACCTTGGGGAAGAGGGGCACTATAATAGTTTCTGTGGATACTTTCAGGAAGAATGGGACTGAGAGGCAAGAGGACAGGAGAAGGTCAGAGAAGAGCTTTTGCTTCTGAGGCCTTCATTTTGGGGTAGTGTTTCATGAAGCCCATCACTAGCCTATATGTAAACTGTAAGTGTTATCATCAAAATTGGGAGATGATACTCCAAAGTTTATAGAGAGCTCCATGAAGCTTTTGTAGTATAGATGACTTTGGTGTTTAGGGGGATATTTGTAGGCCTCCAATATTTATTTGGATGTATCCTGAATTTTTGTGTTTTAGGTGTAAGATAATTTGGATTTTTCTTATTTGAGAGTTTGTGACTGTAGCTTGATTTGTGAATGTGTGTGCCTGTGGTGTGTATGGTTTCTATAGAAGGGTAATTCTCCCTTCCGTGGTTTGTGATGAGGAGTAATTCCAGGCTCTCCCTCTTTTTGAGTTGTTTCCTGGTTCTTTTATCTTTATAATGTAAAGTTTACATTGCTGTCATTTTGTTATCTGGGGCAATGTTTCCATGCCCCAGCTTTCTGTGATTTGCAGAGAGGTCTAAGTAACTGCCACTTCTGAGTCAGAGTAGGCCCAGGCATTTCTTCTACTTTATAATTTGGAACATATGGTTTGTGAGCTGATGTTCTGTTGTTTAGAGTGTGCTGTGACTCATATCAGTATGTTTGCTGATAAACTGTCAGAAACTCTGAAGTATAGGAAAAGCTGTCAAGAATTTTCTCCTTGTTAGGAAAAATTGTGAAATATGCTGAAATAAGCAGAAAAGATTTCTGGGTGTTCTGTTTAGTGTACTTTTCTGAACCATGGTCTCTACAGATGCTTGCCCCTTTTATTGTCTTTGAACTACTTTTCAATACTGAATTGTAGGAAATGGATAGTAATGTGAATGATTCTTGTCCCTATAAATGGAAATGCCTTTTATCATTTGGGATGCAATGGATTATTACCCTCTATACATTTACCAGTTTTGTGTCTCATAGTGACACAAAATTTTCCTAATTGTTTATTTCTGTGTGTCCTCTGAATTCTCCTTGGAACTGGTGGTAGCCATTTTACTGGCTGACTTGCTGATTAATGGCAGATAAAAATCTTTGACATATGTTACTTTTATATTTGTATGAGAAGTTAACTTTTCTTTTTAAACTGTCCTTTAAAACAAGAAAATTCTGTTTTCGAGGGACTGGTTTTAAGTACTTAATATTTATTTGGGATTTGGGATGGTTATCTATAAATCTGAAAGCTTATATGCTTTAATTCTCTTTTTTGAGTTTCCCTAATACCATTCAGAATATTTGGGGAGCATATGTTGTATCGTTAGTGATCTTAACTGTCCTGCACTATTTCTTAGATCTTTCTATGGACTTAAGTCTTGCCTTCAGAAGTGGGTTTTTGTTTTTTGTTATTTATTACCAGCCCAAGTGAAATAACTGAACATAAGACTCAATCTGGCTTAGGCTAAAAATCTAAATCCCTGACCCCAAGTTCTGTGCCTGCATGAATAGGTTTGCATTTCAGTATTTTAAAATTATAAACAAACACATTCAAGCTTCTCACTGGCATCCTGGATTTGGTAACAACAGTAGCTGTGGCCTTTTAGATTCCTCGAGTGTTCTAAAGGAGGCAGTTAGGATAAAAGAATCATAGGAAAATTAATTGGTTTATGACATCCAACATTATAGCGAGAAAACACAGTACCATCTTCATGTTTTATTGCTGTTTTCGTCATATGACTGGCAACCTGAATCACACAGAGGCAGTGATGGAGGAGAGCTTTCTGGAGTTTATTTTATTCAGAGGCCTTGTTTTATTTGAAATTCACTCCAGACTTCACAGTATCATTATTTTGCTAGGACGATGAGAAATTACCTGAAATTTACTTATGGGGCCAGAATCTTCTTAGTGAGATGTGGAAGTAAGACTATCAGGGAGCAAGAGAACCAAGAAAGCCACTGTGCAAATGTGTATCTTGGTCAAGGCTGCTGTGCTCTGTGAGAGTGTGATGGGCTGAACGGTGCTGCTCCTATTCCACCACCCCACCAAACCCTGGAACCTGTGAATTTTTAACAAAATTGGGCTTTGCACATAGGACTTTGCAGATAAAAATTAAGAATCCTGAGAAAGGGAGATTACCCTTGATGGGCTCTATATGCGATCACAAGAGTAGAAGGCCATGTGACCCCAGAGGCAGAGATGGGAGTGAGGCCGCGGCCAGATGCTGGAAGTGGCAGGGGATGGATTCTCTCCTCGGCTTTCTGGCCTGGCAATGCCTTGATTAGCCCTGCAGTCCTGCTTTTGGACTTACGGCTTCAGTCACTGTGAAAGAATTAATTTCTCTTGTTTTAAATTGCTAGATCTGTGGCAATCTGTTACAGCCGCTATAGGAAACAATCCAGATTTTGGTACCTGGAAGGGAAGTGTTTTCAGGTAACAAACACCTAAAACTGTAAAGTTGGGGAGTGGGCATAGGCTGGTAGAATTTTGAGGTACCTGATAGAAAAACCAAGATTGCCTTGAACAGACTGTTGGTGAAAAACCAAATTTTAAAACCTACCAGTACTCAGGAGTGAGTAAGCATGGTAGAAAATGTCTGTACTGTCCTAGAGAATATGTAAATTATTATAAGCAGGAAGTTGTTAAAAATATTAACCAACTATGCTATATGTATAACATGGAGTAGTAGTTAGCCATAAAAAAGAAAGATTTTACATCTTTTGTGTTTACCTGGATGGAGTTGAAACACTTTCTTCTTAGTAAAGTATCACAAGAATGAAAAACCAAGTATCCAGTGTACTCAATACCATTAAAAAACCAATATATAAACAACTACATGCCCAGATGAAAGAAAAACGCAAGTATATTCTAGAGAGGGATGTGGGAGAAGACGGAAGGGGAAAGGGGAGGAGAGGGGGTGATTGGCAGGATCTCACCTCATGTGCACAGGGGAGGGTATTCAGCACGCCCTCTGGGTGAATGGCTCAACTACAGTTTGAATTTTACTTTAGAAATGAAAACAATGTAGCCTAACATTTGTACCCTCATGTGAGACTGAAATAGGAAAAATACTTTTAAAGGGATACACTAGTGCAGGCTTCAGAGGGAGAGGGGAACACGTCACTGGAAATTGGAAAAAAGGTGATTCTTTTTATAATATGTAGTGGCAAAAAAGCTAAGCAGAATTGTGTCCTACATTTGGGTGGAGAGCAAAACTTATTATTATTTGAGATGAACTTGGATATTTAGCTAAGGAGGTTTCCAAGCGGAGTTTTGAAGGCATGGTCTAGTTTCTTCTTGCTGCTTATAGTAAAATGCGAGAGGGAAAAGATGCATTGAGGGAAGAACTATTAAACAGAAAGAAAACAAGACTTGATAACTTGGAAAATTCTCAGCTTATCCAGATCGCAAAAAAATGTTAAAATTAGGAGATTCACTATTAGGAAGTGTGCTCTGCAGAGAAGGTCAAGGGCAGTGGCCTTTCCACTCTTGAGTTTCCCACGGTGATGTGACTTGATATTTCTGTTCTCACCTGTATTGATGCATTGAGGGAGGCACAGCCGAACAGCATCCACGGAATTGAACTGAATACATAGGGCAGGAGTCCTCAAACTTTTTAAATAGGGGGCCAGTTCACTGTTCCTCAGACTGTTGGAGGGCCGGACTGCGGGTCCCGGGACGAGTTGGCTGCTAAGCAGGACAGGCAGTGGCGGCAAACACCGGCGGGCTGGATAAATGTCCTAGGAGGGCTGCATGTGGCCCATGGGCTGTAGTTTGAGGATGCCTGACATAGGGCATTGAACTAAAAATATTTGGGGATAGATTTGGAATTTCTCTCATTCTTAAAGCGCTCCAATAACATTTTGACCTGGTTCCTCTCAGTTCAAACATCACATATGTGCTCTGACCAACAGAGGTCACTGAGAGGATTTCAAAGCAACTGAAGGCCAGAGACAAGTGGGTTCAGTTTGGCAGTTGTAATTAATGGTCTATTTTAACAGTCCATTGATTGATGGCAGCCTGCTATGGTACGTGTGCATTAAACCAGGGAAAGCTGCTTAAAATTTTGTAGTCTTTTACTAGTATTTGATGATTAATTATTACACCTTCTGTTAAGGTTTAAACAGAGTGAGAATTAGGTCAATGGGAATGGTTCTCTTATTTCTTTCTTTGAAACTCTTGGGACAGTGACAGTAGTCAGTTCCTAGTGCTGTATCTCATATTCGTATCTGTGAGTTATTTAAAGCTTAAAAGCCTGCAAAACAGATAGGGCAGTGTGCTGTAGCCTTTTTTGAGTGGAGGAGAGAAGAGCACGGTGGTCACAACCTGAGAGTGCTGACTGCCCACATCATCTCCTCTGTGCCCAGCACACCATGTTTCTGATCAAAAGGCTGTTTGGCAGCAGTGGGGTCGGGAGGGATGAGAGTGAAGGGAAGGGTACAGTTTGGAAACAGGCTTCCAGGGGGGTGGGGTGACTGAGAAAGCACAGTTGTCCCCTTAGAATTGGCTCTAACAAAGGCTTGTTTTGTGATTGTTTGCAGAAAGATTACCACTTTGAATATACCGAATGTGATAGCAGTGGCTCCAGGTGGAGAGTTGCCATTCCAAACTCTGCAGTGGACTGCTCTGGCCTGCCCGACCCAGTGAGAGGCAAAGAATGCAGTATGTTTTGTCTTTCTGATCGTTTCTTCTCCTGATGATTAAATCGTAACTTGTACATATTAGCTCTAGATGTTAATTCCAACATCTATAAGAGATCTTACAAAAATGAACTTGTGGCATCGATGTCCAGCAGAATAAATGCAGTCTCCCTGCATACTAGATGCCCTCAAGTCTGAGCCTGTCACGAGACGTGGGCAATATTAAAGGGTGTTCTTATTACTTAACAACTCTGTTTATTCTGTTATTTGAAATCTTGGCGGGCAGAATGCCAGAATTTCTCTTTAGTGGACTTTTTATTTACAAAATTTTTTTAAATGAAATTAAAATTTTGGTAAGGTGCACATAAAGTTTACCATGTTAATTAACCATTTTTAAGTATTCAGGTCAATGGCATTAAGTACACTCACATCGTTATACTATCATTACCACTGTCCAGCCACAGAACTCTTTCATTTTGCTTTGGATTTCTTTCTTTCTTTCTTTTTTTTTTTTTTTGGCCATAGAGGTAACTTAATATATATATATTTTTAGTGTAACCTGCAGAGAGATTGTAAAATTGCTAAATGTCACATTCAACAGCTTGTATTTTGAAGATTAAGCAAATTTGAAGTATAGTATCATGAACAAACAGAGAAATATGTGATTAAATTTGTTTTTGTTTATAAGGTCTACCTTTTTAAGATGCTTTAATTTAGTGAGTCAGGTGTTTCTGCAGTGGAATAGTCTAGCGATTGCCTGGAGTTCAAAACTGGAAGTAAAATGGAAAGATTTATTTTGTTTTTCCTGCAGTCTTCCCAAGTGGTAGTCCTAAAAACTTAGTTCTTCTCTCTCTAAATGCAAGAGCAGGTAAGCAATTATTAAATAGATAACTAATCCCTTCCTATTCGTGCAGAGCATCTGACTCTATTATTAGCTGGAGGAATTTTGGCATAACTGGTGGGCTTACTGATAAAAAGAAAACTGTGATAGTCATATGAGGAAATTTAGGGATAAATACCATTATTTCTTGGTGAATGATGTTAAATGAACACGGAGAGAGCCTGAGAATCACTGTGGGCAGGAAATAGCTTCGGTTTAGCAACAGTCTTAAGAGATAGAGGTGTCTGTATGGAGGAAGACAGTGCCTGACTGGGGAAAATGCAACCACTTGCGCAGAGGGCAGATCAACTCTCAGGGATGAATGTGGTTAAAAGGGAAACAGAGCCTGAATATTTAATATTGAAATATTTACCAGCACACAACCTATGTAATTAGCCTATCGTAAATTTGCTTCAGCTATTTGCCTAGAAAACTTATATATCATTTATCTCTAATTACTTTTCACTTGTGGGCTACTTCTTCATAAACAACCTTCTTTCATTGGACTACCTAACCATTATGTTTTCAGGTCTCATATTCAGTCTTTAAACTGTCTTGAAGTAATTGTATATAGTGAGAGGTAAGGACCCAGTTTCATTTTTCTGCACATGGCTCTTCAGTTTTCCCAGCACCATTTATTGAATAGGATGTCCTTTCTCTAGGGTATGTTTTAGTCTGCTATAGGTGTATGGTTTTCTTTCTTTGTTCTGTTTCATTGATCTATGAGTCTATTTTTATACCAATACCATGCTCTTTGGGTTACTATAGCCTTGTATTATCATTTCAAGTCAGGTAATGTGATACTTCCAGATTTGTTCTTCTTGCTTGAGATTGATTTGGCTATTCAGGCTCTTTTTTTGATTCCATATGAAATTTCAGATAGTTTTTTCTAATTCTGTTAAAAATAACATTGATATATATTTTTTTTATTTATTTTTTTATTAAATGATAGCTCTATACATTAATGCAAACAGGGGGTACAGTGTAGTGTTTTCACATTTTGAAACACTTTCATCAAGCTGGTTCACATAGATTTCATGTAATTTGCATAGTCATTGTGTCAAAACATTTACATTCTATTTCTAGAAAAGTTCACTTGTACCCTTGTTAGACAGAAATATAGATGATCTTTCCGGTTAACCTCC